TCTTATGTTTGTTCAAAGGCTGTCTGTCTGCTAGACAGAGGTTTCCTATGTGCGATTCCGCCCCTTTTCCCCGAGACTGCCCTACCTGAGCTGTCTGGTCAGGGAAGCACCGGAAGTCCTCCTTGGGTACATATTTCTTAAGGGTTCTTCATGAATCCTGCATAGTTGATAAGGTCTTTTCTTTCTCTTTTGGCGGCAGTGTATACAACCAAACGTCTTTTCCTAGTTTCTGCATGTGCGTAAGGGATACTGGCGATATTCATCCCGGGATTGTCAGCATCCTCACTGTGTCCATTCCTGTTAGGATATCTCCGTGAGTCCACACTTCTGCCCTTAACATTCTCATCGGAGCCCTACATGAACTGTTGGCACTTGACCTCACACACAGAGAATTCTCTAAGAGCTCAGTCCTCCAGGCAAACATTCCTTATTGGTTGGCTAGACTGTTCAGTTTAACTGTGGCTTTGTGGGCTAAATTTAGATCAGGGTTTAAAATTATTTCTAGGTAGTCATTTCAATGGTTTCCCCATCCCTAGCTTCAGTGGATCCAGTAGATCTGGTTTTCATATGAGGTTGAAGTGTGTTCCTCTATTTTCCACCTTTTGATTAGGTTCTACCAGTTGGGTACTTGATTCCGAAATTCAGTAATGGTAGCAGGGCACCGTTCATTTCTGGTCTAGTTCACAGAGGAACTGAAGCTGTAGTTCATTTCCTGCTTTGATTCCTGGGTCCACTTCTGTGGTTCCTGGCACAGAGAGACCAATTGTAGCGTGGGTAGCTGCTCCCAAGCTGGTAAGACCACAGGTATTTGAAACCAGGAGGTAGACCAGAAACTCTAAAAACAACTTCAGGCTAACTGGTTGTGTAGACCCACCAAGCCATAACCCTAAAACTGCCAGCCCAGAAAGTTAATCTTGTGGAGTATTTAATTATAACTTGGTGTGGTGCTATGGGTAAATGTACTGGACTGCAAAGTCGCTTCGAGCCGTAAGGTCGGTGGTTCAACTCACCAGTCACTCCTCAGAAACCCTAATCAGGGTTGCTGTGGGTCAGAACCAACTCAACGGCACTTCACAACAACAGGTAAGATCAGTTAGATGTAGCTTTTTAATTTTGGGCTGCTGTAGCTGAAAGGTTGTATAAAACACTCTATTTGCCATTTCACTCTGTTGTTTTATTTTCTTTTCTGGTACACAGCTTAGTTATAACAGTTACATGTGTTAACTTGTGTGACCATTACCCTTGTTGTTAAGTGTATAGGGCTTCCGAGGAGCGCCTGGTGAGTTTGAACCCCCAACCTTGAGGTCGAGTGCTTACCCTCCAGTAGCTGTCAGTTCTTCCATCGACACTGAGACAAATTCACTTCTTCCCAGAGAGCAATTCCACCTCTCCCTTCCCCTTCCCACCCCTGGTGACCTGTGACCACCCTAGATTAGAACCAGAGCACATACCAGCCAGTCTGTAAATACTTACTGAAGTTCTCAGAAAGATTGTGACATTTGCTTTAATGTAATACAATAGTGTGAGAAGATGGAAATTCAAAGTGGTTCATGCTTATTGTGAGCCTTGAGCTGCCATCTCAGAGAACGGGAATGGGATTGATGTGCACACAGTTCAGTGTACGCTGGACAACAGCTGCTTACCATGGGAGCTTTTAAAGGGAGAGCCATTCAAGTTAGAAAAGTCAGACTTGCCTCACAGGGAGGTGGAGCTTGGACAGAATGTGAAGGATCACATGGTACTGAATAATTAGAGGTGGCGGGGTCTAGACTGGCCGTGTGACTTTTGTACTGGGGACAGAGACATGCTAGGCTGTAGCAGGTTGGCTCTCCTGCTTTAATGCTAATTTTTTCATTGTTAAACTTAACCCAAAAGCTGAGCTGACTGTGCCTTCAAGTCAGTTCTGACTCACAGTGACCCTAGTGACCCTGTACAGGGCCGAGAAGGGTTTCCAAGAGGATATTTTTATGGGTGCAGACAGCCTCATCTTCCTCCCTTAAGCGGTTGTGGCTTTGAATCTCGTTTTTAATCAGCCCAGTGCTTAGCCCACAGCACCACCAGGGCTCCTTGTTCTAACTGTGGTGGTTACGTGCCGGGGAGTCGCTTCCAACTCACAGCGACCCTGTATGGCATTTCCGACTTTGTAAATCTTTACGGGAGCAGAAAGCCTCATTTTTCTCCCGCGGAACAGCTGGTAGTTTCAAACTGCTGACCTTGAGGTTTGCAGCCCGATTCCTAACCACTGTGCTATAGAGACTCCTGTTGTTGGTAAGTGCCACTAAGTCATTTTCAACCCATAGCGACCCTAAGTAGGGTTTCCAACCTTGCAGCTCAAGCCAACTCATGAAATATCATTAAATGAAAAATGCTCTAAAATGTAAGAACTGTGTTTTTTTGTTACAATGGTCAGTTAAAATTGTTTTGCAGAAATAGTTTGAAACTGATCACTGAATATGTGCTGAACTGTAGTTTCTGGCGTTGAATATGTGAATTTTTGTCATGTTTAGGTGTCATTTGCCAATGCTGTATATTGGACTGGAGTATGGCTTGACCAATAACTCGAAATTGGCTGAGAGATTCTTTAGCCAAGCCCTGAGTATTGCGCCTGAGGACCCCTTTGTCATGCACGAGGTTGGCGTGGTTGCCTTTCAGAACGGGGAGTAAGTACCAAGAGGTCACTGAGCTGTTCAGACTGCAGTACTGGACTTCAGCTGACCAGGCTGACTTTTGAGTAGATTTTCATTCGGTTTTAGGACGTATGAGGTTTTTTAAATCTTGGATTTCCTTAGAAACAGGAAGCTCAGGTTTGTGTCATTCCCATATCTCAGGCCACCAGAATCTCCTCATTCTATTGCTGTGCAGTTAGTGTGTCCTCTGGTCACCCCAAGTCATCTCTCTGTTGATTACAAGTTGGGTTACTACATCTGAGAAAGGTTTTCCAAACTTCCTGAAACAAAAATACAGGAAAGCTTACAAAAGCCAGGACCTGTGTAAGGAGGGCAGGAACCTGCCAGGAAAGAAAGGCTCAAATCTGTTCATTGGATTGAGCAATAGGAAAAGGCGGAAAACCTATGAGACCTGGAAACACATAGCTGTCCCATTGACTTCCGGCTGTGACCGGTGTCCCTGGGTGAGGGGGCTTCAGAAAGTTTGTGCAAATTAATAGGCAGTTAGAAAGTAACACAGAATTTTTGCAGCCTGCTCAGACAGGTAGTCTCCACCTTGTTATACATTCAGGTTTCAATGAACTGCATTTAGGACTCACCATGTGGTGTGGTGTTTGTATGGGTTTTTTGTTTTTTTTTTTTTTTGTGTGTGTGTGTGTTTGTTTTCGTACATTTTAGCATTAGTAGTGATTTGCTGGTGTTAATCTGTTTATGCAATTTGCTGATATAATTTTCAGATGTACTGTAAGCTCCAAAGACAAAGATCTAATTTATAAAGACACTGATAATAAAAGGCAAAAGTAATGAGAACTGAAGAAACAATGAGGCATTAGACTTACCTCAGAACTGACTTAGGTAGAATGGAATTCCGTTTTCAATCAGAGACAGGCTACCTGTATTTTATGTTTTGTTACCAGTTGATTAGAAGTAAACTAATTAGAATGACCTAATCTCTGAGTGTCCTGTTCAGTCAAGGCTTTACCTATATAGCCTTGGATATTTTATAAAGTAATTCAGTGTCATATTCAGGAGAAAAATATTTACACTCTTTTGCATTAAGTTATACAGTTAATACTAGTGAATAAGTTGGTATTCCTCAGCATTGTTTGTGGGCTGTCTGTGTGATTTCTAAAATTTACTTATCTGAGCATTTTTAAAGATTTTGGAGCTTTTTTGCTTTTATGTATTTAATTATTTTGTGTATAATTAATATCTCCTAAGATCTTAAGCTTGTGTGATAAGGATACCATAAATTTAATCACTTATCTGACTTAGATTTGAATTTTAAGCAACTTGTACAACTTTACCCCATTTCGTATAGTTTCAAATTTTTCTTAAATGTTTATATTTGCTAGGTTTGAATAACATGTGACCTTTCCCTCCCCTGTTTTAGCTGGAAAACAGCAGAAAAATGGTTTCTTGATGCTTTGGAAAAAATTAAAGCAATTGGGAATGAGGTACTCTATGTCTGTCTGTGAATATATCTGTGTCCAGTGGGGAAAATGACATTGCCAAAACAATCCCATTGCCTGGGCCAATCATCTATTATCGTCACAAATGGCTTGTAGGAGAGTCAGTTGCCAACTAGCTGTTTGATTCCATGGGACCCGGTGACTTTGTTTCCAACTGAGAGGGCAGGTGTTAGGTGCATGCTTCTCAAGAGGTTGTTAGTGATAGTAATTAGAAAATATTAGATGGTTGTTGGAAATTGAGGCTATTTGATGGTTAATTTAAATTGATGAGCCCTGTATGCCTTTCTTATGTGGAACTCACAGTAGTCTCAGGGTAGCAGCAGATTCTGTTTCTGCCGGAATAGGACGAGGTGTCATTACGATTCAGACATTACGTTCGCAGCTCCTACGTGTGCCTTGGGAGCAGTGGCATGGTGGCATGGTGCTGTAGGAGAAGGATTGGACTGAAAGGTTGGAAGTTCCAACCCACCAGTTGCTCCTTGGAAACCCTGCACACCGGCGCGATGAGTTGAAAGTGAGTTGACGACACTTAACAACAACCTGTACCTGTCAGTGTTTGCAAACATTGAACTTGGTTGTATTGTGTGAAAGACACCCATGGATTTATGCTCTTGAGTTAACTTTCCAACAGGGACGAATACACAGACGCTGATATTATTTAGGACTATAGTAAGCCCTGCGTGACTGGCCCACAGTCATTTTGTTCATGGAGAGGTAAAGGTGCTCAGGAGGTAGACGAGACACCCTCGGTGGCTCTTGGTGTAAGAGCAGTGAGGGAGCAGGAGAGGTCGGCGTGGGTGTGTAGGAGGCCTAGAAGGAGAGAGCCATTAGAGAGAAGCCTAAGAGCTGCGTGTGTGACCCACTGTTTGGAATTGCTTGCGAGAGTTCTAAGTAGAAATTTCTAGTAGACCGAGGAACACAAAGGTCTGGTGTTTTCAAGGAAGGCCTGGCTGGAGGTACAGAGTTTGACTCTGAGCTTGCAAAGTCAACTAAGATTGTGCTGGAAACAGGCGTACCTCGTCATCCTCTGCGTTGCTTCATTGCACTCACAGATAATTACGTTCTCTTGCTTTTTGACAAATTGAAGGTTTGTGACAAACCCTGTGTTGAGCAAATCCATCAGTGCCATTTTTCTCAGTTCCTTTTGTGTCTGTGTCTCCTTTTGGTAATTCTCACAGTATTTCAAAGTGTTACAACACTAGTACACACCTCAAAGACTGCAGTCTGGTACAAGCTTACCTTCTGTATGCACGGAGAACCCAAAAGCTTTGTGTAGCTTCCTTGACTGTGGTACTCACTTCACTGTGATGCTTCTGAGGGATGCCTGTGCAGAAATACGCAGGCTCGGGAGGCCTCCTTTCCTTGAGAAGGAGAAGGAGAGCAGCAGATACCCTTCCTCAGGGCTGTCACAGGTCGAGGCCTGGCGGCCAGCTTGCCATAACTAAGTGTGGACAGGAACCGTGGGGGAGCGCTCTTTGGGACTCACGGGATTGGTCCTACTTCACGTTTCAGGTAACAGTGGACAAATGGGAGCCTTTACTGAACAACCTGGGCCACGTCTGCAGAAAACTAAAGTAAGTGAAGTGGAGCATTTTCAGAAGTAGACCTTGTGACCCTCAAACTGCTGCATTCTGTGGAGTCTTTCTCATTTCTATTTCATGAGCCGCCTCAGTTCCATGGTTTTGGTGGCTCAGATATAAATAAGCATTTTAAAAATGCACTACTCTTAGGAATTCATATTAAGTTAGGAATTAGAATTACTTTTTTTCAGTTAAAAATAATTGTAGTGTTCCAAATTAATCTAGAACACTTCAGACAGTGGAGTCTAATTAAACACACACCCATGTTCTAACTCTTGCTTCCTGTTAACACTAGTTTTGTAATGTGGTTAAGTGTTGTTAGGTGCCATGAAGTCAGTTCCAACTTGCAGTGACCGTGTATACAACACAACCAAGTACGACCCAGTCCTACAGCGTCCGCAGTCTTTCCTGGGTCTGAGCCCATTGTTGCCGCCAACCCTGAGCTTTACCAAGCATGATGTCCTTCTCCAAAGACTGGCCCTTTCTGACCCACAGTACGGGAGACAAAGTCTAGCCGTCCTCACTTCTAAGGGATATTCTAAGGGGCAGTATATATATTCTGTATTCTTCACCAACACCATAATTCAGGTGCATCAGTTCTTCTGTGGTCTTCCTTATTCATTGACTAGCTTTTGCTTGCATGTTGTAGAAGTGCTGTTGGGTCGGTTCTGACCCATAGTAACCCTGTGTAGGGTTTCCAAGGAGCAGCTAGTGAGTTTGAACCACTGCTTCACTCACAGTGCCACACTAAGACGCTTTTACTTGCGTATGAGAGGATTGAAAAAACTGTGGCTTGGGTCAGGTGCCCCGTACTCTGCAGAGTGGCTTCTTTGCTCTTTAACACTTTAAGGAAGTCTTGTGCAGCAGATTTGCCCAGTACAATGCTTCGTTTGATTTCTTGACTGCTGCTCCCATGAGCGTTGATTGTGGATCCAAGTAAATGAAACCTCGACAACATCAGTCATTTTTCCATTTATCATGCTGTTTTTGATCCAGTTGTGAGGATTTTTTTCCTTTTACACATTGAGGCGTATTCCATACTGAAGGCTGTAGTTTTTGATCTTCATCAGTGAGTGCGTTAAGTCCTCTTCACTTCCAGCTCATCTGCATATCGCAGGTTATAAGTGAGCCTTCCCTCCATCTTGATGCTGAGTTCTTTCTATGGTCCTCCTCCTGTAATTATTCGCTCAGCATGCAGATTGAATTCGGATGGTGAAAGGATGTAATTCTGGCACAATCCCTTCCTGATTCTAAAGCTTTCAGTATCCCCTTGATCTGTGGATAGATTCTGCATGCACACAATTACGTGTGGTAAATAGGTGGCAAATAAAAAAGGGATTGGTTGGTTACATCAGTTTAGGAAACTATGAGGCACACCAGATTTAACACAATTATTTATTGTCAGGATTTCTTGGGAGTCTTGTGCAATCCCCAAATCACACATTTGGAATGCTGCAACATTTCCCAAATGTAATTGAAAAACAGAACCTTTCTTTCACAAGCGATTTTCCAGAAAAAGTATTCCAGAGAACTTTGGGAAGTATTGTTCTGAGTGACTCTTTTGGTCCATAGAGCAAAACTCCTGGGTTGGTATTACCGTCACCTGGTGTCACAGTTAATCTTCACACGAAAGTATTGTTACCTTGATGAGCACAGTTCTGGGAACCTCTCCCATGTATCAGCAGGAATGCCCCGAATACAGATCCCTCCATGGAGCGAACATGCCAGAAATGTCTATGGGGGCTCCGGAGAGTGGGATACTTGCCATCTGGTGTAGGGAAACTTCTGTTTTGATGTAAATGAGCTCTTGATTAAGGAATGCTGCACTGATTTTCCTATAACCATTCCTTGTTCTCCTCCCACAGGAAGTATGAGGAAGCTTTGGATTACCACCGCCAGGCACTGGTGTTAATTCCTCAGAATGCGTCCACCTACTCTGCTATCGGATACATACACAGCCTGATGGGCAATTTTGAAAATGCTATTGACTATTTTCACACAGTATGTCTGTTTCCTGTATCTAACTAAATATGCTCAATGCGACTTTTTGAAACGATCTTTTCTAGGCTGTGTTTTACTCCTCAACCATTATAAAATTCTCTTTGCTACCTTGTATTTTATTCTCCTTCACAGAGAAAAACATATTTATGACTTATAGAGTCCATCAAGTTAGAAGCAAATGTGAGACTTGTCATCAGTGTGGCCTGGGTCATAAATATTCATGGGAGCCTGTTGTCATTTTGAGGGGGAAGTACAGAGTTGCTTCCACAGGGGAAGCCCTGTAGGAGCCCACAGGCTTGTACTCACGGCTCTCCTCATTAGTTTCCCAGGATTCATTTCTCTGACTAACAAGATCGTCTGCATTTATCACAAGGAGCCTCTTAGCCCACATAGCCACCTTCCATCAAATCTAAGATACCATCATTGAGCGAGATGACAGCAACAAAGAAAACATTTTGACAATTAAATTCAACATAATGTTTTTCTATCACTTAAATCTTTACACTTAGACAAAGTGTTCTTTTGGGCATATTTAAACATAGGTGTTTTTTTTTTTATTAGATATCACTCATGCACACGTGAAGAGAAAAATGTCAGTGAGATAAATTGGTTACTCAAGCGTTCACATTCACAAGTGATTATTCTGAATCACTGATGTACCCAAATGATCAGTCTTCTTTTTCCCCAAAGGTACTATCCTGGTGCCCAGTTTCTACTCTTGATTCTGGAATTTTCTCCCAAGCCTTATAGATAACTCTTCTGCATATGCTGATATTGTTTCGAGTCTCTCCTGACTCATAACCGCGGACCTGTGGTTCAGAGTCCAGTGCTGACCCCAGATCTCTGCTCCAGGGCTCCAGTTCAGTGTTAGCACTCTCTTCATCTTACTAGAAGGTTCAACACAAGGTTTCCAGACATAAGGAGTCATGCTTCTTTTTAAGTGCTTCTTATGTGGTTTGTGAACTGAAACGTCACATAGCTGGTTGTGCCCCAAGGACAACGTCCAGACTCACAGCAGTGGCTTCAGCATCGTGGTTGCTCCCCGGCTGCTGCAGTTGTAAGAAACCACCAACTGTAAGACATCCTGGATTCACAATTGTCCAACTTCAAAAACAGTGTGGCTCTGAGAGGGAATGAAATGATGGTATTTTAGGAATAGGTAGAATATGAGGAAATGCAAATTTTCAGAGGTAAATTCGTAGATACGTAACATTTTCCAAGGTTGATTAAAGGATTTTCAGGCCATAACCCTAGATGGAGCCTTGAAGTGCCACTCTGAAGCTAGTCAGAAAGCTTGGCTATATACATTTTCTAATCTTATGTAATCTAAAATGTGTATAATTGAATCTTATATAATTTACCTTCTTCTGTGGGAAAAAAAAGACTTAAAGAGCTTTTATGGGGTTAAAGTTTTAAATCTTTTTGGGAGGGGAAGTTCAAACCTAAAAAAACGAATAATGAAATGACCCTCCATGTCCCCCTTACCGACTTCACTAGGTATCTATCCGTAGTCATCTTGTTTTAACAACATTCCCACTAGCAGCTCTTCCCTACTCCCACCTTTTTTTTTTTTTCTAAGTTTTTATTGTGAATTGAGTGATAGTTTATATGGGAGAACATCGGTTTTACAAAGAATTCTTTTAAACAAAGGACAAAGGCAAACATTTTCTTCTGTTTTCTGGCAGGCACTTGGCCTCAGGCGAGATGATACGTTTTCCGTTACAATGCTTGGTCACTGCATCGAAACGCACATCGGTGACTCTGAAGCTTATATTGGTAAGGCTATGCTCATTCTTTCTGGCCTTGTCATCCAGTGTTTTGAATTCTTTCTGTTAGTAATTCATCTCTGTTTAGATGTCTCACGTGGTCATCATTCTAGCCATTCTAAGTACATTAATATCAGGGAATCCATTGATTTTGATAGGAAAATGCTGAGGGAAATAGTGACTCATCAACCATCCATTCGGTTGGAAATGGAGTGGCGCTGTAAGAATAAGCCCTGACCTGCTAACTGCAAGGTCAGCAGTTCAAAACCCACCAGCCACTCCTCAGAAATGAGACTTTTTTCTAATATGCTTAAATGACATGCAATTGCTTTAACAACAAAATCATGTATAGATGGCTGACTGACTGTGTGCATGGAGTCAGTTCTGACTCACAGTGACCCTGTATAGGACTTCCAAAGCTGTAAATCTTTACGGGAGTAGAAAACTTCCTTTTGCTCCTATGGAACACCTCGTGGATTCAATCTGCCAACTTTGTGGTTAGCAGCCCAATGCATAACCTACTAAGCCATATAGTATATGTCTGTGTGTGTGTGTATACACATATG